TATATATATACACACACACACCCACCTACCTACCTACCTACCTACCTACCTACCTACCTACCTACCTACCGACCGACCGACCGACCGACCGACCGACCGACCGACCGACCGACCGACCGACCGACCGACATACATACATACATACGTACGTACATACATACATACATACATACATATGTGCACATACATACATACATACATACATACATACATACATGCATGCATGTATGTATGCACGTAAGTAGAAGTTATAAATAAGTAAAAAAAATATAAACAAGCAAACAAATATAAATAAGTAAATAAATAAATATATATATATATTTATTTATATATTTATATTTATATTTATATCGACATAAACATACACACGCACACACACACATATACATACACACACACATATATATATATATATATGCCTGCCGTGAACATGTTATCTATGCACATGAGGGCGTGCAGGACTCCTGAATAAGAGCCTTTGTCATGTAGACTCTCGCAACTCGGGTTTGGCGGGCGAGCCTTTCTGGTGCGACTACTCTGAAGAGAAACGGCGAAACGGTCGTTCCTACGACTCGGTAGATTTGTGTGTCAAACAGAGATTCCACCACTTGGGGCAATCTATCGGAGAGCCGGAGTGCTGAAATTGACTTGAAAGATATTCGGATGTCGGATCCTGAAGATTGCCTACCTTGCTTGACGAGGCTGCTTCTAAAGGCCCGCAGCCACAGTCGGAGCAGCGTTTGATGATCAGCAGTTAAAGAAATCCCACGCAACTCTCAAGCCGCAAGGAGGGATGGCACTGGTGACATTCGGGGTGCCGACTCTCCCTTGCGCTTTCGACCAGGACTGCCCTTTCTGTTCTTCGTTTCACTGGGCCCGAGGAGGCACAGCCTGGGAGGCATGAACCTCGAACCTCTGTCTGAAAGTTCTAGGATTGCGGCCGACCGCCAGTGCCGCCCAGCGCAGGCAGCAATGGCGGAGGTGCAGGTGATGACCTGACTTGGACGTCGACCCTCTTCGTCTACCACTGTTCTGCGGATTAGTGATCATCAGGCTCCGCAGGCAGAGGCTGGACTAAGGTAGGGAGTAGCTGCATGGTCCCAGTCACATCCAAGCACCCGCGATGCACATCCAGATGCCTGGGCGACTGCTGTGGCAAAGGCAAAGCCCGGATCGATCTTCCCCGTAGAAAGTACTTGGCGCGGGCAGTTCAAGTCTGGTCGGATTTCAGAGGCCAACTGCATTGCAGCAGCTGTAGCTTCAAGGTTTCTGGGCCAGTGACTATGGCAAGTATGTGTGCACTCGGCATCTCGATGCCGACTGTCCAGAAACTGAATTGAGAGGCCTTACATCTTTGGCAAGAACATTCTACCACATGGACTGCCAGCAGGAGCAGAAGTCGAACATTGCAAACCTGTAGCTTATGCTGAGTTGGTGAGATGACAGGATTGAATGTAAAATATATAGGCCCTACAGTTTTGCAAGGACTCGACTGCACCCGAGTCGCCTCAGCGCAGGCAGCCAGTGCCGCCATCTTGTGCAGGTCCCCAAGGCCGCATTTACGGCCACGGTATCCTTCAACAAGGAACAAGCGTCAACATTTCAAGAAAAAGATTCCCAAATGCCCTCGGCCTCGCAACCCGCATCTACGCAGTCAAAAGTCTCACACCGTACCAGATGCGCGAGTGAGCTCTGCAGCCACATACCGACTACAGCCACCCAGGCACTATTTGCGCAGGCCAGCGGCTGTCAACATCAGAACGGCTTGAGCTACCGACTAGGCAACTGAGGGTTGTTTCCGGACAAAAACATCAGAAAAACAACTCGTGGGAGCACCATAGTTGAGCAGAGCCCTACATTAGACTGCTGTCCTGTTAACAGATCACACCCAGCACTTGGACACGAAGCCAACTTCCTTTCGCCAACTCCTATAAGGCAGCTCAAAGCGAATTGCATCAAGTCGCCGGCAGCCACCCCTTCGCTTCCCATCGGCCCAGCAACGATCCGGTTGCTTCCCAGGCGCAAGAGTCGTCGAAGCAGTCCTCGGGAAGGCTTTCACAAGCCCTAGGAGGAGTCGAAGGTTACAATAGGCTTAGAAGCTCGGCTGACCGTTGCACCGGATTTTACCCTCATATGAAGATGCTGGAAATCCAGAGGTCGGTCACGATTTGCCCTGTCCGAAGCTCCAGCCCTGGGAAGCTTGGGTACAGCATTCCTCGCAAACAAACTCCAGTAAAATGAATGCCTACACCCTTCGCTGCAGCCCTTCGATTCCTCCTGCTCCCACCACCACCACCACCTGTAGTACCAGTACCAGTACCAATGCTACTACTACGACGACGACTGCGCGACTGCGACTGCGGCCCCCACTGCCACTACCACAGCGACTGCGGCGACGACGACTACCACTCCTATACTACTCTTCTGATAGCTCTACTCCCCTTGCCTCTAAACTTCCCACTGGCCGAACCAAGAGTCAAGGAAGCTGCTACGGCTGGCGTCTTCCTCCAGCACAAAGAAACCAGCCTCAAGTCGCTTTTTTCAAGTCTTTTCTTGTCGAAGCTCTTTTTTACCAGTTCGGTAGTCTGACGGGGTTTTTATATATTAAAAGTGTCCATGGGTGGGGTTTGACAGGGTTTTAGACAAAGGATCCCGCGACACTCATCGAACTACGGTGCATCCTCTTTGTGCAAGCCCTCGTGCACTTGAATACAATGGATCCACTGAAACATCTGCAAAAGTGGTTTGTCCTTTGAGGTTGTAAGGACCCTAGCCTGTGAATCACCTTGACTAGGAAACTGTTCGATTCTGTACTCCGTTCAATTGCAGTTTACAAGTGGAAGGATTGCCAACCGTTCAAGCTGTTTGACTTCGACTCTCGAAGTGCAGAGATTCGAGGTGATGCCAACCGTCCGGCTGCGAAAGCCACGGTACAGGGCTCGGTTGCAGGCGCAGTAATTAAACGAGCATGCTGCATCACGAGGACGTAGACTGTGGCTGGAAGATGAAAGTAGTCCAAACAGAAAAAAGGGAATCGCACGCACACTGCACGCACATAGCAGCTGCAAATCATAATGTCAGTAATCATGCAAGTATCACTGTCACATGTCTGAGGAGAGACTACTTACATCTGGCATGAACCAGAAACGTACGATGTCCGTGACATTGTGAATTGCTTCGAGAGCTGCAAACACGTCAGATGCCAAGCTGACCGCCGGGAATCATGTTTCGATAACATGGCTTTTCTGGCTCACGCTGATCGTGAATGTTGCTGCAACAGCTTTCCTAACTCCTTAACCTTACGGTTGTTGTCCGACAAGTGTTCCAACACGATGTCGCCACCAGCGTCCACTAAGAGTGAAGCGAGCTTCGGGTCCCCCCGCAGGTGAGGCCTTCGCTTCAGTACTGAAACCAGCAGACTCCCCGCCAGCGTGGCATCAATACCATTCTCCAAGAGCACTGCTGCAGCTTCCCCGTTGCCTCTAGCGCATGCGAGCATCAAGGCGGTTTCACCATTCCAAACTGCATCTTTGTCTGCACCGTGTGCGAGTAACGATCGGATGATTCCGGGGGCCTGCTTGCTGCTGGACCTGCAGGCTGCCATGAGAGGCGTTTGCCCTTTGGCATCAGTCATATTTGGCGAGCACCCCAGTCCAAGCAGGTATGCCACCATGTCTGCGCGCCCACATCGAACAGAAGTCATCAAAGCCCATCGGCCGCCGTGGCCTATTTCGGCCAGAATCTTGTCGCACTTCAGCTCAAGGTGTTGGGCAAATTGTTGTATGTATTTCACGGAGCCATGCTCAACCAGTACCTCGAAAACCGGCACATCCCGACCACGGAGAAGGGCCAGAATATCCTTCTGATCATCCTCCACGGCCAGCTTTGCAAGCGAGGAGCCGCTCGAGTCCTTGACGTTGAGATCGGCCCCGGCCTCAACAAGGTGGCTAACCACCTGCCACTCTTTCAACCTCGCAGCCAGCATCACAGACGTGCCAACAAAGACAAGATCCTGCTTCCCGCGTCGCTCTCGTCGCATGGTTACGGCATAATTCGGATCGGCACCCTGCCCGATGAAGTGCTCGACAAGCTCACGGCTTCCAGCTGCTGCACAGAAGGGCAACAAGATTGTGGCTGCAAGGGGTCCTACATCTGAAGCTGTAGAATACATTTCAGGAAGGTCACTGAGACAATCAGACAAGTCCTGGTCATAGACTTGGTCAGAAATCGAAACCTTATTTCGCACCCATCTTCGTAAAGACAGCTTCGGTGTCATGCCTACCCTGATGAAGAGAGAACCTTGTTCGCGAATTTGAAGTGCTAACTCCTCAGGCAAAGGCTGGTTCGCCGCAGCAGATGCCTGCTTCAATCTCCAATTGTCCTTCAATCTCCAATTGTCCTCAGCGGCATATTCTGCCATGCCTATCAGCTTTCCGCTCTGCTGCTCACGGATCCCACAGACGATGGCGGACTTGAAGCTCACTTTTCCTATCATCTCAGTGGCGCAGTTGCGCAGCTTCAGCCCGGCTTTTGCTATTTGCTGTGGCGACTTCAAAACTTCCACCAGGTATTCCTGTTCGCCGGGCAATGTCAGCTGTGACGAAAAGTGCCTGAGATGGAGAAACTCAGTCTCGGGATAGGTGCCAGCCTGCTGCTTCTGCATTTCTCTGGAAAGTTGATTGAGAACTTCAGCCGGCCCTCTCTTCATCACGGCCTCCCAGTCCACTTCTTCTCCTTGTCTGGAGGTTTGCTCTAGATCACGAAAATGCGCTTCGAGCTCGTCCAGCCGGTTCCACTTGCACTTAGACCACAGCTTGCTGTGGTGTACCCAGATGTAATCGGCCAGCTTCGAGCGAGTGAGAAATATCTTGAAAGTCCCCTGCCGAACTTCGGCAGTCATGATGGCATCAATCTCCGCTGTGATCTTGGCCCTAGCTTCTTCGTCGTGTGCCCTTAGCATTTGTGCGGGATGTTTAAGCAACTGGGGCCGTCAGTCTCATGTCCGACCAGGAGCCAATCTGACACATGACAGCGACATCCAATTCAGGGTTTCACTTCAAAGCGTGCTTCACGTACCGCATTGCAAAACAATATTTTGAGATAACGCGCGGTGAGATTAGCTCTGATTGACAGATTCCATGCGCGACGGCACTTCGAAACCGAACACGTCCGGATCCTACCACCAGGAACAAGTCAGCAAGAGCATGCCAATCTCGTGATCCTCGTGATCCTCCCCACCTAAATTACAACAAGCGAGTAGTGCGATTCCTGCGGCCTACCACTATATGATGATCATCACTACGGCCCCTCATTATGACATGAGGTTTGCCTTGTCAAGTACAAGCTGAGAGCCAGGATACACAATCTGCTTGATCATCATCTGACTAAAGCATGCGAGATATGGACTGGCCTCATGGCGTGTCTTCGCTGCTTACTGGATCTCTGGCAGTGACACCAAACGAGGGTTTGGGCACCTGTCTGCTGAACATGTTCACTAGAGGAGTTGTTAAAGAAACCTCGGCCTGCCGTTTTGGGAGAGTTCGACTCACGGGCCCCAAACGTGCAGCGCTCTGTTTCATTCAGAAGTGCCTACGAGTTACGACCATGTCGTCATGCAAGGTCGAACATCAGAATGAGCGGTTTTTGAGTCGGTTGAACCGTGAACACCGGGTGTTACAGACTTCGTGAGTACGTCGTAAGCAGTGACAGCTCATGACTATCTCACCGCCAAAGTGGCATGAAGTGCTTTTGGAAACGCAGCGCACACCCAGCAACCACTGAAGTCAAGCTAGAATCACGAAGTCACAAAAAGCATGTCAGCGATGAACACATGCGAAGGAGTGTTTTGTTTGTGCTTCCGAGAGACGCTGCCAGATCCAGCCTCCTGTCAATCTCTATCTGCACAAGCTTGTCAAGATAGCCGAAGGCTGTCATCTCAGCTGCACTTGGGATGCCCGCCTTGCAGAGCTTCGAGCTCATTAGGTCCGCATACAGATCAGGGATCGATCTGCGAAAAGGACCCCAGCCAGGAATCAGAAGGATGCTCCCTTTTGGCCGAAGGTGGGGTTTCTTGTCGTTCACCGGCAGCTTGGCCCAGTCCTCAGGGACTTGCTCTTCGATGGAGCCGGCACAGGCTGGAGCCAAGCTTGTCTCACCCGTCATGGCAGGGCCAGCGCTGAGGCTTAACAAGTCATAGCTCTGCTTCACCTCTTCAAAGACCTCCTTCCGGAAGGCTGCTGTTCCCAAAATGGCCACGGCATGTAGTTTTGCTCGTACCTCAGAGGTCATCCTCTGATCTGGTTCCTTGGTGGGCTGGTCTAGCCGAGGCATCATGAACCCATTGCTGAAGTGGATGCCCTCTTCTGTGATGGACCCTCGTATACGATCGAAAAGAATCGTCTTCTCCTCAATCGTCCCTGTCAGGGGCACGGCACCGTAGTTATTGTGCCATACTCTGAGATCCTCATCTTTCTGAAAGAGTGTGACTTGGCCTCCTCGTGGGTCGGACATGTCTTTGAAGATGCCGATGCGGTTCCAGGCAGACAGCTCCTCCTTCTTCCATGTTTCCGTTCTACCCTGTGTCCAAAGGCGCTGCACCTGGTAAGCCCCCAAGCCCTGCACGGGGCGGGCATGGCTCGGAGGAAGGATTCTTCTGGCAAGCCACATTCTCTCTGGAGCTTGAGCAGCTTCACATTCCTGCACTTTAATTGCCACGCTCCGACATTTCGCAAACCTCTGAAAGACCCGAGCATAATGCTGGCCATACGCGAAAGCAGCCATCAGAGATATCGCCGCCGGCCAGCATTGTCGTACCTAGCATCCGCAATTTATGGTACCGGTAGCCGCCCTAGCTTCTTGACATTTCTTGACTGTGACCTGAGAAGCGTAAGAAGGCCTCGGACAAGGGAACTCATGTCTAGCCGGTCTAGCCTCTGCTGCAATTCCTCGACCTTGGCAAAATGTTGAGATTTTTTTGGACTACGAATGACTACGAAACCCGTGTATAATGTACAAAGAAACCCAGGCCAATGCAACAGAAATCTCACATGGAGGCATGGCTCCTTCGTGACAAGAAATGCCGGAAGCAATTTCTAGAGGAGTCGTAGCAGGAGCAGTTCGGCTAGTGGCAAGAGGATTTTAATGTGGCGACTATCTGATTAGCAGTAACTAGAAAAGCAAGCCTTGCAAGAATCGACGCCTTCAACTCCCCCCTCCCCCCCAAGTCAAAGCTTGAATATTTGGAGGGGCCTTGCAGCCGCCCAGGCTGGCGCGGCAGGCGATGGCATCAGGCTGGAGCCCTCCTGCATCAGGCTCCGGACTGAGGCACGAGAGGAGAGCGGTTGCAGCTTCGAGCATTGGCTGCAGTGAACGTGATGAAAGTGGTGAGATGAAGATGATGGACGACACAAGCTGCACAGGAAAATCTTTCAGCTGTTGAGCTTTGGAAGACTTATTTGCAAGGCTTAAGAACATCCGAAATCTGTCTCGAAACACCTTCACCGCACAGGCCCATCATCTCCCAGTCGGATGATGTCAATGTGACGACTCCCCTCTCCCAGGAGCGAAAGCCCCGGCTGCCTTCGCGTAGCTGGGACAGCAACACCAAGGCACGAGCCCACTCCTGACAGGTGCGGGGTTGAAGCTTGGAGTTCCACGCAGGTGGAGACCAAACCAAGGCCCAAGCCTGCCGGCGCGTGGCCGAGGTGATCAAGGTATTGTACCAAAAGTTGTCCTTGCACGGCATCAAACCGCTGTGCTGCTTCGTTGTTGCTGATGCTTGCTGTTGCTGTTGGTGTTGATGTCGCTGTGGTTGATTTTGTTGGTTGTTGCTGTTGCTGCTAGTTCTGAGAGACCTGGCTCATGCTTGAAGTGAACCCCTAAAAGTTAAGACTGGGTGGCCGAATTGTCGCTAGAAACACCTACAAACTAAACCGGGCCGCTTGAACGTCTGCTAAGTCGTATAGAAACGACTCACGGCCCTTTCATCACGTCGTCTCTACGTGGCGACGCTCTTTGTGCCGAGGGGCCACCCGAAGATGCCCCTCTGAGAGGCGAGCCATCAAGGAAACGGCCCGTGCCTCTTGGCGAATCTGTCGAGAGGTTTAGGACGTGCAGAGCATTACAGTAGTAAAATAGTTCTATACACGGCCAGTTACAACTACTGAAGGGTTGTCCACGCGATATTTCCGCAAGTCGAGTAGGCATGACTAGGCTGCATCTTGTGAGAGTTGGGTATCTTCCAGCCGTGTACGGAGCCTTGGGTGAACCTTTCAGGAACTTCTGTCTGTCTCTGAATTTCAACAGCATTAGCTCGACACGGGCATGGGGGATGGAAGGCTGAGTAATGCCGATGCCGCTTGCGGTCTGGGTCTGACCAATGATGCTCGCAAACAACATGCAGCCTGAAGGAAACTGCATACGGTGCTTGAAACCTGCGCACCTCCCCTTCCACACTGGATGCGCAAGCAGCGGCGAGGGAGTTGAGGGTGATGGCACCTGGACATCTCTTGGCCATTGCAAGGATTCAAGCACCTGTTCAAAAATACTGGATGTCACATCTACACAAAAAGAGTCGATGCAGAAGATGTTTCTGCTTAGAGACTCTGTTGAGCAACATGTGGCGATGTCGCCACCGTCTGCTGCCAAGAGTCTCGGTGTCAGGCGCCTGGGCTCGAAGCTGGCATCTTGACCCATATATGTACATGTATGAGGTGTCTATGTATATCTGTCTCTATACATATATATATACCTTACATAATTCCATACACATGCATGCTTTGCTCTTCCAAAGCGCGTGGCGCAGCACGCAACTGTGATGTCCTGATCTCTGCCTGTCTGTGCGTGAGTATACATATGAGCTTCTTCGTATACAAACTGTCTGCTTTACCTCACGAACTGTTTCAGTATGCGATAGTCGTATCACATATAAACATATGCACACGCAAACATGTAAAAATGAAAGTGCGAACCCACGAAGGATGCACCTCCCCAGGAGCTCCGCAGCGAGGCCCAGGGAGGCCGTCCATCGTCGTGCGCGGCCGGCTGCGCTCAGGGCAGCATTGTAGCAAGCCTCGATCCGAAGGCGACACGTGCATGCGGAGGACACAAACGAAACTCACAAACCCATGCATAGCTGCAACGCTCATATAAGGCACTTGACTGCTTTCTCCGGGGAAATCATAACAACTCGGCATGTTAAATATAAGCCCAGGTCAGGTCAGGTCGCATCCTAATTCCGTTAAAGTTAGAGGTCGCTGAGAGGTCGGGACATTGATTTCGCTTAGTTCCAGTCAGCTCTCGGGCCAGTACAAGTAACAAGGATTAGATTTAAAATGCCTTCGTTCAGCATTCGAGGGGTTTACAGTTGTTGCTTTTTATGTTTCTTCCCTGGCTGGGACCTCCCCAACCTCCAGGCTTCCCACGGCCCGGCGACACCAAAATCAATTTCCTGGGCCTCAACAAATTCACTTTGGGTTCTATGCCGGAGCCGCCTCCAGCCTCCCACACTGTACTTTCCCCAGTTTCCGTATACTGCCCCAGCCGGACTGCATGAAGGATGGGGTGCTTCGTAACCCTACACATTGTGATACAGATCTGTGTGTCAATGTTGGCATGAGCCGAAGTATGTGCAAGGTGTACAGCAGCTCAACTTTTCTTACCATGGGCTTCGGAGTTTTGCTCTGGAGCGCAGGATAGCTGGGCTCGAACACTTCGTCAATCAATGCTGACATGACTGCTCTGTTTACTGTCTGCTTACTAAATCACCTCTTCCGAGCCCCCCAAACACCGCACGCTTCACCCCTCACCCTGAACCACCATTTTGGCAGTCGACAGGCAGGGCCTGTCCAAAAGACCCAAAGTCAGCGGTTCGTGCAAGAAGCAGTCATGAGTACAGCAGATGCGCTGTAAGTTAGAGGCGCAATACGTTCGTAAGGCAAGCTCTAGTACTGGCACAACCTAAGGCTCTGAAAGCAACATCGTAGAACGGTTTAGTGGAACGTTGAGCACTATGTAGACGGGCTCTCAGCCAAGACTGTGAGAGGTTGAGAGGTGCGACGTTCCTGACATGCATCTCCCAAGCTTGGCAGGTGGCTTAGCAGTGCTATGGCTGTCTGCCCGTTCTGCGCAGCAGTTTAAACATGTGAGCGATGCTTCCCTTGCTTCTGGGAGATTTCTGCCAAGGAGCCGTTGCGGCAGAACGGAAGAGAGAGCCTTCATCTCCTCAGCAGGAAGTGCACACTCGTAATGTCGCCTGCTGAAGCGTGCGGCGCGTCGTAGGCTCCACACGAGCTTGCATCTTCCCGAAGTAGTGTTGACATTGCCCAGGGCACCGAGAGCAAAAAGCCCGTGAAGACTTTGACCATCACAAGAAGTTGAACTAGACATCATGTTTGCACGATCGAAGATGAAGCATATTTCATCTCGACGAGACTTATGCTAATATTCCTGTCGATGGCAACGGGACAAGAAGAAGAGGATAGATGTGGAGGGAAGGAGTCAGACTTGGCCTCCCCTCAGGTAGATCCACAACGTGTCACCTACTTCCCTGGCTTGCCGGATCGATGGGTGCGCAGGACACAAGCCGTTGCACGCGGCAGCAGTTGGGGTGGAACTGCCATGACTTCCACAGCTGTGGGAATTCATGTGAGAAGCCATGTAAACGAAACTAGTCAAGCCGTGAAGCCTGGAAGCATGACCTGCGATACCTAAGCCCCCAAAACCGTACCCGTACCCTCGATTAGCAAATTCTCAACTACAGTCCTGCTTGCCCAAGTTTCCCAGGTGCTCCCCAAGCATGGAGTGCACAATGGCAGTAGAACTCTGCCACACATCGGCCTTGCGAAAGCGGCTGTGATATACGAGTTAGAGGTGTAATTGGGACGCTCTGCTTCCCGGGGCGAGGAAGACAGATGGACAGTTGATTCCTGAACCCAGTCCTTCCATGAAGTACCCAAACACTACACGAGTTGCAGATGTGGCTGTGAGAGGCGCCCGTCTGGCCTTGCCATGTGCGCTGCTCAGGGCCGCCAGGGTAATGAGGCTCGGCCGGCACAGCCTATCACGATCGTTGTCGTCATGGTGAAACCACGAAGATGTCATTATGGTAATGTTGTTGTTGTTGAGGATAATGATGACGTAGGTGGTCCGTTGCGGGGTGACGGGATAGTGTAAACTTGGCAGGGGGTTGCTGCGTGCTCATGACGGGGGTGTAGCAGAGGCTGCAAAAAAGCCATCCGCTGTACTGTCACGGCACAGTGTAGAGTTCAGGGCTCCTAAATGACAAAGTCAAGGAATTTCCGTAGACCCCTGACTGATGTGCCTGATTTCGTTCGGGCCCTGAAATTCGACTCTCCCCCTCGCATCAGGCCCTGAAACTAGGATCCCGATCCCAATTTGTTTCAAGTAGTGATGTTTAGCCAATCAGCGGTCCACATCAAAATTAAGGCTTGCAGTTGGAAGGGCTCGAGCTTCGAGGAATCAACAAGCGAGCGCACAAAGCTAAGTCGCGGGTCAAGTAGCACAAGTTTACAAGCAATGCACTTGAGCAGGCGTGCCAACAGTACACAGCGGATACGGGATATGTACCGTGGAAACCAAGACTGGTCAGAGCAGCGGGAAAAACCGGCAGAGTATGCCCTTTCACATGCATGCATGCATCTGCGTGTGCCGTGAGATGTTGCGCAAGCATGTACTGACACTTCACAGATCCACACGCATGGTAAGTACGACTCCTTGCTTTGCTGGCTGTGTTCATCTGTCTGCATTTGTTACTTGCCGTCGGACGTCGTTCGAGTTACTGGCTGCTCAAAGTCACGTTTCAAGATTCCTTACATGCATGCAGAAGCGACGGCCGATCGTCAGCCTGGCACATATGCTCCCAGAATTCCTCACCCCCGGATGAGCAACCGAGGCGCAGCGCAAAGAACGAGAGCAAGGCCGTGGAGCGAGCCCAGAGGCTTCCTTTCTCAGGGCTTTTAGGTAAGCTCCCAAAGTCAACTGAGCCCACTCCAGATCCTCGAGGTGGCTCAAGACCCTGCAAAACCGGCGTAAGGTTTTAACATCCTACCACCTGAGCTTGTGATGTGGATGTTGTTTCCACAGGCAAGACACCACCCGGCTTTCGACAATAACAGAAAATCTTCTGGCTTCGGACTACTTTCAAGCTCGTTTGAGAGTGGATCCCCGTATTGCGAGAACTAGATTTGATGGCGATTAATTACCAGGCCTATGCACGGGTTACTGTTGCCAATTATGCGCTCTGCTCGCTGGCTGTCCTTCCTCACAGGCGCTGATCGCCGCATTGCAGATGGTCGTCGTGATCTCAGGGTTGTCGAGATCGAGGTCTAGCATCTACAGTTGCAGGGCCCATTGCTTGTGATCTTTAGTCGGCTAAGTGCGACTGCACCAGGCACCAAGAGATAAAAGAAGCCGGACGAGACGCAGACACAGAGGAAGAAGCCACGCTACTTGAGCTGACGTTTCTGTTCCGATTAGTCGCACGCAGGGCACACAGACCCAGAAAGCGTCACTCAAAATGCAGGTGGCAATCATCCGTCATGCATGCCAAATGTAAATATATACATGGAATACTGCAGCACCCATGCCTGCAACGCTTGTTCTTTGACCTGCCCCGCCAGGAGAAGGGCAGCTGGCCAGCGCGATGAATCGCCATGGACAGTAACCAACGTACCGAGGCTGACCACCTCAACCAGCAATGTGCTCCTCATGACAGAAACGTACTACGTATTCTCAGACGAAATGAAGAGTCCATGGTCACATCTTCAGGCTAAACCAGCTAAATCGCTGTTTTCTGGAGCAAAGCATGCGCCATGCGCCGCAGCAGGCTCCCTGCTTGCTGCCACCTTCCCACCAGGCCAGCCAGTGCAGCATTGTGCGTCACCTTAGGCCGTCTGCGATGGAAAGGTGACTCCGGGATGCATCGCATGAAAGAATCCAAGTGGACCTCCCCAGAAAAAAAGAGGCTAGTTGCAGGCACAGAACTCACGTCCTGATCGAGTTTACTAGGCCAGGCCACCGTATCAGGGAAAATTGCAAGGGCTGGCAGCAGCGAGAGCACGCCACAGGATGAATGCCACCGGCTTGCACGCTGGTCTTGGACAGTAGCATGCAAGGTTCTGGACACAGCTTGGTTGAAATGGCTGGGTCGGCACGACTGGGTTCAACTGACAAGTAAAGCCTCCCACTGAAATCTGGGCAGTTGTATGGGGAGCCAGCCTTGTATACGTTGAAGCCCTTGCAAATACATGTTAAACTTGAAGCTTTAACTAAGGGGCCTGTGGGAGCCCCGAATCTGGCTCCGGACAGCAAGACTTAGTTCACAACGATGTTCACGAGCGAGGATTTTGGATGCCCTAGACTCGAATGGATACCACTGATGCTTTCACTTCCAGGAAACGCCGGGTGTGTACGGCAAGCTTCTAACTATTGTGGGAGTGCACACCGGGGGCGTGTGGAGTGTAACTAGAGTAACTAGAGCGGCTTAGCTGAGCTCAATAATTAAGGGACCAGCAGATGGCTCCCTTTCCCAGCCAAGCTACGGGCAGTCGCCAGCGCATTGCCAGAAACCAGATCCTGCAGAATGTATCGAACTCTGGCTGTGAACGACGACGGCTGTGAACGACGACCTAGGCCAGGAGGCTAGCAAAAAACTCAACACCATCTCAACGCAAACAACTGCAGAGTTACAGATTTAGCAACCAACTAACACATCAGGTTCGATGCGATCCGTCAATGTTTTCTGAAAGGAGGGAAGAAGCATGCCGTCCTGCACTTCTGGCACTCAGGAGGTATGACAGGGCAATGACGCAATAACATGTGATGTAGACGTGCCGTAAGCATCTGGCAGCATCGGTTGCAGAATGGTTAGGAATGGATGTGTGAGCCTCCGACCACTCTTGCGGTAACACAAGAGGCGCGAGTCCGGCTTCAACAGTGGAATGCCGCCGTCGAAAAACGCAGCCGCCACTTGCCATCTGGAGCTCTGCCCACCTAAGCAGGCCGGGGGGCCAATGGAAGCTCTGACATAGGCCGAAGAACAAAAAACTTGACACATCATAGTGCCGACCCGGCCACAGCAGGTGATGGCGGCATTCGCCTCGGCTATGACATCCACTCTGCGGCTATGCAAAGGAACTCTGGATGGTCAGACAATTCTCCCTTTCCGGAACAGGGAACCCTTTCTCTAGTCTCAGTGTGCCAGCTATGCGAAAAGGCCACAACTTTCAAGACGTATCTCCAGGTCAAACACACCGGAGAGACGTGGGTTCGGGTGGCATAGATCTCAAACCTTTGCCGCATATGATATAGAACCAACCAGAAACTTCCACAAACCGAGCAAGGTCAACGACATGCGCTCCAAGCGGCCACGATGGTGTTGGGAAGCAGGGCTTCAGAGCTCGCCTCTCTCCTCAGTCTTTTGGTGGCTTTAGACTTGGGCTTCCACCGCTTCAATGTTTGGAGCTTCGGGGCTGGAGGGGTCGGCTCAAACTCTTGGATCACACAGGCGGACTTACGAGGTGGTTGGCCGGATGAGGCTGGACTGCCACCGCGGCTCAGCTGTGACAGGCAAAGATGCCAGCGGAAGGCACGCCCCAGCCCGTGGACCACCTGTAAGCTCTGGAGAAGCATCATGTCCAGTGTCGTCACTCCAGAACAGGGTCGAGCGAGACCGAAAAGACAGAAAAAGGGAGCGAGCGAGAGAGAGAGAGAGCGAGAGAGAGAGAGACTGCTTCGAATCTTGCCATGTGCAGCTGTGGGACACTGTGACAAGATTTGTGTTGAGACCTGTGCTTTTCGGGGTTGGTGTCGTGTCAACTCCGTTTGACATCGTGAAATTCGCATCTCAAACCCAACAACTCACCAACCAGGCAAGACTCAGATATACACATGTCTAGACGCACCAACATACATGGACCCTAGCGACCCCACCGCAATGTTCCAACCCTTGCCAAATTCGATACTGCAGCGAGCTTCGCCACTCTGTTGACAGGCGAATCTTCCACATTGCGACAAAAGGGCAGCTCCAATCGAGATGATGTCAGGCTGGACATTAGAAGACCTGAACAAAGGTGTTCGTGCAAGCTGCCTCTTGATTTTTGTCGAGGCCTCGCAAACGCTCCAAGAATCTCACACCTTCGGTTGTAGCCTGGAACAGCTTTCATGTCTTGCCGTCTTGTACAACTTCGAGGTCTTGGAGGCTCAAGATCCAACAAAAAAGATAGGAATGATACGAGATGCCAATCATCTTTCGAATGTCGAAGCCCCTTAGACCCAAACCGCTCCCGGAGAAGCCGCAAAGCATCGATCCAGCGCGAGGTGCGAGAGTGCCTTGGGCTTGTGTGCTGGAAGTCTTCTTGGGATGTCGCAAACAAAAACAACTTGGAAGTGATGTGACAATTCTGGTGTCGGGGCGTATAAGGTCAAGCCTTGAGTATGAGATGCCGCAGGCAGTCTAGTGCAAAGAGATGCAAAGAGGCCCAACAACGGACTAGAGTTGCAGAGCTTTAAAGACTTTCATGGCGGGAAGACGCTTAAGCGAACAGGTCTATGGCTAAGCCAGGGGAGCTGTGTGTGTTCGTTGCTCTGTTGGATGTGCGGCTGCTTCCCCTCAACTTCTTTGGCCTCAATTTTTTTCTTGCAGCTTACGACTCGGCACTTACTCCCCTCTCCCCCAACCTCTCCAGTTTGATTGGAGAGGTCTGAGCCCGCCTCTCCACTTCTCCACCTTCCGACTTATGCCTCCCTGCATCATCTTCCTAAGTCCTTCCTGAAGCCGCCTGTCACTTCCCGACTGAAATCGCCTGCCCTCCCCGTCTGCCTCTCTTGCTCTCTGTCTCTTTCTTTCGCCAAGCTATGGTCTCCGTCTCTGTCTCTCTCTCTCGTTCTTTCGGAAGGGATGAAGGCCAGGGGAATACCCCCCTAGCCCTCTCTCTCTCTCTCTCTCTCTCTCTCTCTCAGCTTCTGCGATCCCTCAGATATGGGATCTCACTCTAAACTTCACCGGTCCCTGTGCAACGGTCTGCTCTCTGCCTCAACTTCTCTAGTCCCTTCAACACGGCTTCTCTAGAATTCTGCTCTTCAATCCCTCAGTACCCAAAATCATGCGACTGGCTCGAACAACACTATGATGCCCCTTGGTTTGCAAATCATCTGGGCCAGCGATCATCATTCTGAATACCAAAGAAACTAAAAAGACCTTTCCGTTCTCTGCCGGATGTCTCTGCCAACTCGGTGTTGAGCGTCAGCACACTACTCTTGATGGGCCTCCCAAAGGCAACATCAGAAGGTCGCAGCCGTGGTCATAAGCAGGTCTGGCTCGCAAAAATTATGCGTGCAAGAACGCCCCGCCCAGCGAACTCCCATTGAAACTCCCAAACCACCACAGTGGAGCTTCTGATTTTCGGGATGTCTGCCAGAGGCCGGACTGGCTGTCGACTTCGACTACGAAATGAGTCCTCTTCAAGGCGACGTGTCTATGCCTTCAGACGAGTCCTGAGCAACCTGATATCAACAAGCATGCTGTCGGTTTGACACTTGCATCGTCGGTCTTCTACGGCATGGTGGCATTACGAATGGCACCGATGTTGCGAACACTGAATTTGGAGTGATGCAGGGCTTGACATGAGAACCAAAGACTAAAATTGACTGCCAGCCTCTTTGGCGCCACTGCAGCAGTGTGACGGTCTGCATGCATGGCGCTATCAGGCCCTAGCAACAGCGAAACGACGCCTTGCCATGCCTCACTTGTGTTGTGGGTGTTTCTCTTCCTGTTCTTGCTGTTGCTCTTCTCCTGCCCTTTTCTTTCGCCAAGGTTATGGTGCGGAGGGGATGTGGAACCTCTTTCTCTCTCATTCGTTGCTTCCGTGTTTGCAAAGCCTGCTCTGATAGCAGATGCCTGTTAGCTAGCACTGGGGAAGTTCCACTCGCTCTCTGCTGAACGAAGAGTGGACTGGACTGCAACTTCAAAAGCTAAAGTGAGAAGGGAACTGAACCGAGCACGCAACCATCTCAAGACTGTGTCGAGACTACCAGCTGCAGCCCAGGACCGCACTTCCAAGCTGCAATCTTTTTCCGCTGGAGAGCGCTGCTTGACAGGGCCGCTGTGCAAGCACCGGGCCCCGGGCTGGGACTCATGCAGTAAATCCGTCTACATGTCAATCATCTGGGGCACATGCAACGGTGGCAAAAAATCATAACTATCTGGGTTCCTTTGTGGGGCCAAACTGTCCGCCAGCCGTAAATTGCGAGGCGCGGGTGAAGCCGCAGGGGCCCTGTCAAGAGGGAGGCGGGAACCCAGAAAACAGGCTCCTGTCATGTCATGAGCCGGATCTGCCTTTACTGCTTGCCGCGGAGCCTGCTTTCAAAGCCCTCTGCCCCTCCCAGGTTGCAAGTCTTTGGGTACAGGAAACGTACAGCACTGAAGGCCTCGCATTTACACGCGGCACTGGTATCCACAGACATGTGAGGATGTGGGCATATGTGTATGTGTATGTGTATATATATATATATGTGTGTGTGTGTGCGCATGTGTGTGTATATATACGTGGATATCGTGATCACTTGTATCTACATGGGTAACAGATATCTATGTTCTACTTCTTCTTACACTTGTACTTCTACTTATACAAAACATGTGTACATAATACATATTAAAATGTGTACAAATATCTACATATATATATAGATGCCTATGTAGCTGTGCACATATTTCTATATACATATACAAATATAAATACATACAAATGTAAATATAAATCTAAATATAATTACATATATATATATATTATGTATCTTAATGCACGTGCCAATCTTTTCCACAACTTCAGTAAAGCTTCCAAAGAGAGACGGGTCTTGGAAACTGAGGACACCAAAGCCGGAGCTTCGAACTTCCAGGCTGTTGGATGCTGTTGGTCAAATACAAAAAACACACTCGCAATTCTCCGAAGCAGCTTAGTTAGTGGATTTCTGTTCCATGGTGTACGGATCAACAAAGCCTGTAACATCAAATAGAAGCTGCTCTTGGAGACTCTGGTGCAACGGGAAGAAGAGTCCCGGGAGACTCGACAGCACTGCTTGACATGAGTCGGCTCTCTGGTCACAGAAAAACCCTCGTCCTCGCTCTATTCCTGGCCCTCTCTGACATAGATGAATATGAACAGACAGAGAAGACAAAGCAAAAGTAAGTGGACGTGCAAATCATTGAACTGCGCATCTGTCTGGGCTCGGGTAACGCCATGCCCTTTTGCCTTGACATGACAAGGTTTGCATCTGAAGACCGGAACCTTCCGACTGGAGATTCTGTAATGTAACAGTCGCCATGCAATCGCTTATCCCCCGTGAAATCCGTGAAGAAGCAGTGTCGGCAAACAGCACCAGGAATATCCTAGTTCGGTATTCTCAAGGAATGCGCTCCTGGATCCATAAGGCCGTCAGGGTGCAGGGCCCATGTAATCAGGGCTTCAATTCTCGATGCTGGGGGCCCTTTGTTGGCATTGTCCAGGGTCAACTCCTTGAGTCTGGTACACAGAGCTAGACGAGTGAGGTGCCCTGGCGTGTCGTCATGACTTTCGTTTGATTCTGCCCAAATGACTAGGTGATGCAGCCAACCCGGGCACTCTCACCTGGCTTGCATCCGGAAGCAATTTGGTATTCGCGGGCAGCTGATGGTTCCGAGTGCGGTTCCACACGCATCATGCCTGGCACCTCTGGATATTCCTTGCCAGTAAAGGTTTCATGCTTCGTAAACAAGACATGGTCCCGCTTTGCGTGGAGTCTTGCGCGGGTCGGCTCTACGGACATCACGGGCCTTACAGTAGCCATTCGAGGCTTTTTTGGGAGTGAGGGCCTGATGCTCTTACTCTGCTCGTGCTCTGGTACTTCTCTAAATTAGGGTCCCTATTGGGGGTCCGTTTTATCAGGGTGCCGTACTATATTGGCGACCAAAAACGGGACCCTAATTTAGAGAACTACCCATATTTAGTACAGTCCCTAAGTTCTTTTCAATTCCAGGCAATAGGACCAGAGTTCAGGCACGGCGAAAAATTGCTATCAACTGGTGCACGGCCGATGTGAGTCTGGCATACTCCGGAGCTTGGGCTCGGAGGGCTGCTGACAGCTCTTCAACAGGTTGGGTTTCTGCCTTTCTGCAGTCCTGAAGTGAAGGCAATGAAGGAATTCAGAGGTATGTAAGAGCTGCCTGGAATCGGCTTCACCTCCCGCTTGCTGCCCTTGGCTTCCTCCTACAAGCAACTCCAGACACCGGAAGCTCACATCAGGCTGTTAAATCTATGTGCCCCGCAATGGAAGATGCACACAATTGGTATTTGGCGGCGGCCAGGGCAACGCAAGTCGACTTACAGTTCATATCTGCAGCCTTATGCGGAGTTGTCGCTCATGACCAAAGCCCCAAGGCTTAAGCCTTAAGCCCACCTAAATCGGGACATAGATCGTCGACAGCTTGCTAGGCCCCTCCGTCGGATCCTCACGGCCCATGGCCAAGTCGCCAATGATTGACACAGCGCCTCCCAAAGCCGAAGACAAGCGAACTGCAAGAGTCCCAATCGAGGCAAAACCGCGGCATCAGTTCGAGATCGGCCCAAGCCTACCCCAAGCTCATCCCAGGAAATCCG